AGCTGGAACTTAGATAGATAGATACTTTATTTATCCCGAGGGAAATTCAAGTATCCAGTAGCATACGGAACATACACGCATTAAACATACATTAAACCTACATTAAAATAAAATTAAATAAAATTAACTTATAACACAGTAGCCACAGTAAACAGTGTGGAATAGTTATAATGTATTGCAGAATGTACCAACTATTTCACATGCTGTGAAAGACAAAAAGGCACATTACCACAGTTTTAGGTGCGAGTACACACACCTACTATCTAAATACTACATTCATTTCTGTATTTATAATGTAGTTTGCATGTATTGTATTGTTGTATTCTGATATGTATTGTGAATTTCTTTAATCATTATACGTTAACACACATTTGATTGTATTTTAAGTATTTATTACTATTAATTTATATTTATATTATTATTATTAAGTGCATTGTCCCTAAAAGAGTCTGGATTTCAGAGTGCATATCATTGTGTGACTTTCAAAATAAATGTAATCGTGAAAATAGCTTTCTTTTTCTCTTTCACTTCAAGTCCAAGCCTGCCCCATTCAGACCAAATGAATCTGTAGCCATGTCATTCACTAGACACTGCAACAGAAAGATACAGCACTCGTGCACACTGTGAGAGAGGTAATGTAGGCTGTACTGACCTCAAGTGGCTCAAAGAAGAAACAGCCCACAATGCAGCTAACAATGGGCCATTGTACAGTAACTCTGTTTGGCATACAATGAATTAAGCAGATGAAGCGTAGTGGTGAGAACAAGACAATGAGCCCAGTATTGTTGATGTGCATATCCCAAAAGCCACTTTGTACTCGGGGATAATGATGGAGTAGACCTAAAAATTCAGTCAAAGCTTCTTTTTCAGGAACATTCCCGATCAATTATGCATTCATAGATATTTTTTGTTTTCAACGTAGTATGACATGATGATTATTTTGGTACAATAATATTTAATTAACATACTGGAGGGAAAAGCATGAACAATCTGCTGCATTACCATGGATCTGGAACAAATCCTGCATCTTGCTCAAGGGCACTAATGCAGAAAGGACGCTTCCTGTCAGAGTACACTGAACCTGAGCTGTCCTGATTAAGAACAGTGCCTCTACACAACCAGTCCGGCCGTCTGCATGCTTTTTTATGTCCAGATTTTATCAGGGACATGTGCCTTCTAGTTTTGAGTCTATTGACCCACTGGATGTAAAAACACCCAGTGGATTAGTAGCTTCTTCTATGACATGAGCTACCTAAGGACAATTATGTAAAATGTCAGCGTATGTTGATCTACAACATTATTAATTACATACTTCTATATTTAGTTGAGTCCACAGGGCACTGGACTGGAAATGTAATTTAAACACCACATCTGAACCTTGTTAATATGCAAACGGACAACCTGAGGGTGCTATAAGATGAGTTCAGAGTCACAATAAACTGCATATTAAGATTATTAGCACTAAATAAATTAGTTAGAGTCATGCAAATGATGTATGGGTACATAGAGTGTTACTCTCTTTAAAGGTTATTTGAAGCCCGGCACGAGGAGATTAAAAGAAAAGGGCTATTCATTATAGAGACCACATTTGGATGTAATTCCTTTAAGGATAAATAGATGACTATAGGTCAACAGAGCACAGGGAGAAACATAAATATGGAGCTTTTTTTATGCATGTACTGGGAAAATACTGCATTAACCAGCTCTATATTAATCTATTATAAGTAGGCACATATGGATGGTGCATAAAACTGCTTTATGGTTCTTATTTCCTTATATACAACACGATCAGCACAGAGATTATGAGTACCAGTCCATCCCACAACAATCCCTCCATAATGGTTTTATCTGTCTTTCAAAGAGTGGTGACACACCTGAAGGTACAGACACAGCTTACCAACGCTGAAATGCCAAAAACCTCTCACTATTCTTTATTGTGGTGCTTCCCTTTTGATTTTTTTTTTTCTTTCAGAACTGAATAAATAAATTTAAATAAATAAAGATACTTGCAGTTTAAGAATATAAAAGTACTTTTGGAAACAATGTCAAAGGCATATTAGGATAATCAACCCAACATGCTGTCAACAGTTTTCATGAGGACGATTTATTTGGCAGAATGTAGATCCAATCTAAACTGTTTACAGTAAGGTTTAGGGACAATGCAGACAAAATTCCTTTCACCCTGACTGTAATGGGGTTGCGGCAGAAATCATACACATAGTATCTCAAAACCTGGACAAATAAAAGCAAAACTAAACAAAACTATGCACGGCTAGATACCGATAAATGTATGGCAAAAGCAACAAAACAATGCCACCTTATTCTGCAGGACAAAGACCATTTGCCCTCGTCTATTCAACAAAACATATTTCATCAGATGCTCTGAACAAGCTTCAAATATGTTTATTTGATAAGACATTGAGTCGAGAATGAACCATCAAAATCTTGATTTTTTTTCCCCCACCCAACAAGAATGTTTTGTAATTTAAATGTTTCAAATTACAGGATTTATAAAATATCGCACAAAACATTCAGCACATGTGGGATGTGTTAAAAGATGTTAACAATTGTTTTGGCCTGTTTTTTTAGCTGCAAATAAAGCTTAGAAACCACAGTCTATTCAGAGATGAGCACAACTTACAGTAGATCAATACAAACTCACAGACATCCATTTTCAATCTCAACACAACATCCCATTTCTTTCTCAAACTTTCTCCTTTTTCAGCAGAGTGAGGATCCCGTCCCTCCTGGTTGTGTACGGTGTGTGTTTCAACTGAAGGATGTGAGCAGGAAACAAGTTCCCGCTGGGAGCGTACATATCCGCTCCCTTCTGCCCCATCAGGGAGCGCAGTGTCTTGTTTCTGGACAGAATCTTATCGTAAAACTCGACACCTCCTTTGGCATAATCACGGGACACTCCGGCTGCGCGCTGGTCCGAGCTATAGTCAATCCACTGACTGACAGCGTCCGAGGTTAGGAAGTAGGACACGGCACCGAGCCCCAGCGCCACAACGTTCGCAGCCCCACGAAACAGCGCAGGTCTGGCGTAGAGCCCCAACATCTGCTTCAGCGCCACACTGTAGAACCAAACCCCGCCCAGACACAACGAGGGAACCGCAGCAGTCAAAATAGGTCCTCCTGACTGCAAGCGGGCCACTTCTCGTGCTATGGCAAATTTCTGTGCATCGAGGGAAAACACCAGTGCCTCCTTTAAAGCAGAACCAGCGTCGCTGCTCCAGTCCACTATTTTGCCGTTGATGAAAATGGTGCGGTTGGTGATCCCGCTCGGGTCATCGGGCGCGCTGTTAAAGTTTGCTGGGATGCCGATTTGGGCCCCTGCAGGAAGCCAAGGGACACCAGCACCGACCGGATGGAACCCAAAGGAGGCGAAGGCAGAGAAATTCTTGGATAAGCTGAAACCGTAGTCCTTCATCACCTACAAAATAACAACAAAAAGAGTCACATTTAGGTTTTATGTCACTTTTTTTCACTGCGCACTGTGATACTCTAATGGTATTGCTCCGCCGTAAAATATGAATGTATTGTTTTGTGATTAGAATCTATGTTTGTGCTATGAGTGCTGATATTTATTCAATAAAAAAGGTCTGAATCTTTCTGTTCTCTATTGTTATTACTCCAGCTACTGCAAAAAGGTTGTGCATGGATATAACATATAACTGTTACTACACAGATATATTGCTTTTTAATAGTGCAATGGTGTAAGCAGTTGTACAAATCTAAGACCAAGGAGAAAAGCAAACAAAAATAAAACTTCTGCATATACACACACACACACA